TGCTCTGAAAACACTCCCATCACAACTAATACCTTATATTTCCCAAGCAGAACACCCGAGGGAGGATTTATAATTCCAGACAAGTCGCATTCATGCCATTATTCCAAATACTGTATGAAACCTTGGTTTGAAAAGGGAGCTTTTAAATTCAAATCATAGAACTGTAAAGTTAGAAGGGACCAGCCCCCTGCAATGCTAAAGCCTCCATGACAGGTGCCCTCCCTCCCCAACCTCTGCTTAATAACCTCCAACGAAGGAGACCCCACGACCTCCCGAGGGAAACCATTCCACTGTTGAAAAGTGCTTACTGTCAGAAAGTCCTCCCTGATGCTTAGTCGGAATCTCCTTCCTTGTAATTGGTCAAAGCTCTGAAAGTCCACATTCATTTTTGCCTTTAAAGGTGCAAGGTAGTGCCTAATTTTATGGTTAAATGGCAGGAGAATGGGCTGTATCCAACACGACAGGTTTGCTGCCACAATGGACTTCTGTGCTCTGCTACAGAGCTGCCTCCACCACCCACATTCACTCAAAATCAGCTCTGGAGGGTTGGGCGATGCTCCAGAGCAGAGGGCAGAGAGGAAAGGGAAGTCCTGTTGTACCAGTGGAAACCTGGTAGTGCAGCATTGACTACAATCCATCATCTCCACCAGTCTCACCCCCCCATGAAGCTCACCTTACTTTCTCTCTCTACAAATGCCTGAAGGGTAGGCAACATAGGCTGCAATCCTATCCTCCACTGCATTTATATGATAACTGCCCTGAGATCTACAGGTATAGGGTGGTAAAAGGTAAAGGTAAAGGGACCCCTGACCATTAGGTCCAGTCGTGACTGACTCTGGAGTTGCAGCGCTCATCTCGCTTTATTGGCCGAGGGAGCCGGCGTACAGCTTCCGGGTCATGTGGCCAGCATGACTAAGCCACTTCTGGTGAACCAGAGCAGTGCACGGAAACGCCGTTTACCTTCCCGCTGGAGCAGTACCTATTTATCTACTTGCACTTTGACGTGCTTTCGAACTGCTAGGTTGGCAGGAGCAGGGACCGAGCAATGGGAGCTCACCCCGTCGCGGGGATTCGAACCGCCGACCTTCTGATTGGCAAGTCCTAGGCTCTGTGGTTTAACCCACAGCGCCACCCACGTCCCTTCTTGTATACAGGGTGGTATACAAATGTAAACAACAACAACAACAAATTTAAATTAAACACCAGGGAACCTTGAGGCTAAGCATAATATATAAATAGGTTCCATAAAAGAAATATTCCTTCCAGGTTGAGAATTCTGGATTGTGCTACACGGAGGACCGGTTGAACTGGCAGCGGTTATATAGCATTTTTATTGATTTTTCTCGCTGCTCTTCACGAAGAGAAAAATAAAGCCAATGTTCTTGTTGCAATACATTTGTTGCTGCCCTAATAGTTGTTTGCTAGAGCTTGCTAATATTTTTGTTATAAAGTGTTTGCTGGTTGCGGTGGATACCTGAGGCTGAGTTTCTAAACTGCCACCAGAATTTGAGCTACTTGTGACTGGTGAGGTATCTAATACAGTGGTACCTTGGGTTACAGACGCTTCAGGTTACAGACTCCACTAACCCAGAAACAGTACCTCGGGTTAAGAACATTGCTTCAGGATGAGAACAAAAATTGTGTGACGGCGGTGTGGCGGCAGCAGGAGGCCCCATTAGCTAAAGTGGTACCTCAGGTGAAGAACAGTTTCAGGTTAAGAACAGACCTCCAGAATAAATTAAGTTCTTAACCCGAGGTACCACTGTATAGGCAGAGTACCAAATTGCCAGAGAGGTCTTCTTTGCTCATAACAGATACTTTCCAAATGCTTGAGGTCATTACAGGTAGCACGAGATGATGAAGCACACATTTTGGTTGCTTAATACAACGAAAATCAATAGGCTGAACAGCCAAAGCCTATCTGAGCTTTTTACTCTGTTCCCTTAAACCAGCTTTTGCCCACCTTGTGTTCTCCATATGTTTTGTGACTACAACTCCCATCAGCCACAGTCAGTTTGGCCAGGCTGGCTGAGACTGATGGGAGGTGTAGTCACAACCATCTGGAGGAAACTGTTTTAAACCAACCCTTCCACACTGTTTCGGGAATTAACAAATGCTTTTATTATTACCGGATTTGAGGTGGAGTGAGGGGAAGCCACATGGCTGGGGCTGGAAGGCTTTTAGCGGTAATCTTGTCAGGGGTCAAACCCCCCTAAATTTACAATACATAAATACTATACACACACAAATAAAAAAAAGATTAACCCACATAAGCACAGAGCAGGAAATAAACTAGGAAACCGTGCCAGAAATGACTATTGGAAGGAGACTGTGAAGTTAAATATCCAGAACTTAAATATCCATAAATATTTCAAGCAAATGTGTGTTCTTTCCCCCCAATGATTTTATTTAAAGTGAGAAACGGTGATTATATGTGTGCTAAGTGTCATAATGCTACCAGTGATACAGGAGTCAAAATGTACTAAATAAACTGTGGTGACATTAAGAAAAACTGTCAGACAGTTTTGACAACCTGGTAACCTCTAGATGGTTCTGAACTACAATTCCCATCATATAACATATGGAGGCCACCAGGTTGTCAAAGACTGAAGTATGCCATTGTGTGTGTGTGTGTGTGTGTGTGTGAGAGAGAGAGAGAGAGAGAGAGAGAGAGAGAGAGAGAGATCTTTTCCTAATTCTGACAATATACACATACATCAGACAAGCGACTATGACGACATCCTTGAAACCCACAATAAAAACAAAAGCTGAATAATATTATACAAAGCTTTCACTAAAAAACTGCATTTCCCGTAAAACACTTGCTATGGACTGGCCAGTGATGTATATCATTTTAGTCTAATGGAAGTTGCAAGGAATACTATTAACCTCCGCTGACAGCGCAGGCACAGCATTACAAAAGACCGTTTATGTAATTCATTAAAAATGATCAGTGAGGCATTCTAGAGCCGCCGAGATGAAGAACCAGTTTTATGTCTGTTCATAGCTGGCTGCATCTTATGCTTCACAACTCTTTAGGGGCCCATTTGTCACAAGTGCTCCAGTGTTTATGGAAGGCAGCAGGCTGTTGGCTCTGCCGCTTTCCACAACTCTTGCTTTGTCACAACTTAGGTGGTCTTGTGCATGCTGCTGACATCCCCCCATCCCTGCTCCATGTGCCATTTGAACGACACATCTCAGATGGGAAATTTCTTGAGGATACCATTACACACAAACACACTTGCGAGCCAACAACAACAACATTTTAAAACCCCGCTTCGACGAACGGCAGTCATCAGCTAGGAATATAGGAAGCTGGCTTATAATGACTCAGACCATTGGTACATCTGGCTCATTATTGTCTAAATTGACTGGCGGAGTTCTTTCCCGGTCCTTCCTAGAGATGTGTTTGTTTGTCATCTGCAATTTCATTTAAAAAAAGATCAAGGCAATATACAACATATAGGAACAAAATCAACAAAATGTACCCATAAACACATCATTAAAGACACCACTAAAGCATCAGTAAATGCTGATGGGTTAAAAAGATAAAATCTATATTGCAATATATGCCCCCCCACCACGATTCAGGATCCATAAAGTTAGAAGAAATATTCTACATCTCAGTGACAGGTTCTGGATTTTTATTTCACCAATCTTTATAAAATGCTGTGAGATTTGCATGGAGCATCGTATTGGTGCATCTATTGGTGCATCTACTGGGAAAAGTTAAAAGAGCTGGAAAAAATAAAATATAAATTGCTTTTGCAATCTAAAGAGGGCATACTGCTTTAGGGACTATTCCTTTCACTTTCCTTGTGCTGATTGTCCTACATCTTTACATCCACTTTAAAAAGTACTACGTACCTTGAAATTACGGACTAATCATAAACATTACAGAAATAAATCAACATTGTTAAGAGATACTTTGGGGCTGATACCATTCTGGTCAATGGCCACACTGTATCCCTGTGAAATATTTAGGATTGTTCTATACATGCAGAAGAATGAGATGGCTGCCATGAGGTGGTAAAACAGACTGTTCCACTGGAGGATACAAGAGACTGCACCATTCTGAATGCTTCCTCGTGTGAAAGAAGAGAGGGGAACACGCCTGCAAGTAGAAAAGCAGCAGGTCAGAGATAAAGATTGTACCTTGGCCTTTTATACATACAGTGGTACCTCTGGTTACGAACTTAATTTGTTCTTAATCTGAAACCATTCTTAACCTGAGGTACCACGTTAGCTAATGGGGCCTCCCGCTGCTGCTGCCGCACCACCACCATACAATTTCTGTTCTCATCCTGAGGTAAAGTTCTTAACCTGAGGTACTACTTCCAGGTTAGCGGAGTCTGTAACCTGAAGTGTTTGTAACCCGAGGTACCACAGTACTGGCAAGCTTTGATTTGATTTGATTTGTTTTGTTTTAATATGGGACAGAATTTTTAAAATGTGAGATTCTGTCTGAAACAGGACAGCACTCTGTACAACCTCAGGACATTGTAGAATTCATTCTGCTGCTGTTTATAGATCCAGCTTCTGCCAGTGTGGAGTTGAACTCTCTTTTTAGGATGCACATTAGCTCTCCAGAGGCATCCCCTCTACACACATTAATGCACTAATGTCTGAGTCATAAGTCAGCTTCTTTTGATCTGAGGACTTTAGATAACTGGAGCTGTGCCCAGATCAGCCAAAGGGTTTACCGTTCAAGGAAAGCCTCATTATTTGATACCCGTTTAAAAGGCAGAACACCTATCTTTTTCCATGAGCAAAACCAGGTATCAGGAAGGTAGCTCTTTCCAGAGAGCCTAAATGATCGGACTCTGTCAATGCATGCCCCATAACCAAAAGAAAAGCATTCTCTTGTTTGCGCCGTAATAGTCTGAGCTAAGAGCCATGGGGGAAGCATCAGGTAAACTGCACTGTATCAAGATATGCCATCTAGTTTAGTATTGTCTGCACTGATGGGCAGCAGCTCTCTAGTCCTTCCAAGCCCTCCCTGGAGAAGCCAATGATTGACCCTGGGACCTTCTGCATGTAAGGGAGTTGCTCTTACCACTGAGCTATAGCCCTTGGGCAGTACAGAAGAGAGGTGCAATGGGAAAGGCATGGCGGGCATGCAGGAGGTGGGAAAGATTTCAGAAGCAGCATCAAGATAGAGGAGGCAGAAGCAGCTCAGAAGCTCAGAAGTGTGGACAGCTTGCAAGAGAGGAAAGAGTCACTGGCTGCCAATGACTGCTAAAGAGGTGTGAACAGCATGAAATGGGATGGGGCAGAGAGAAAAAGAGGAGGCCATGGAAAAGGCCTGTGGTATGTGGAATGTATCTTTAATGGAAGAGTCCAGTTCCCGCCTGATACTGGTGTGGTGTCATTTAGTCACACCAGGTGTGTTACAAGGATGGATGAGTGTTGGTGCTAATGAAAAAGAAAGCTGCTTATATACCTACATGACTCTCCTCAGTGCTCACCTGAGTGTTGGACCCTGAGTGAGACCATCTCTCCACCCTTAGGCTCTCATGCAAAGGGATAGTGTTCCAGGGAAGAGGTCCATCAGAGCTGCCACTTTTAGGTACCCAGAGCCACCTGTTCAGGCCAGGCTATGAGGCCTTCTCCCTTTGCCCCCACTTCTTCTATCTTCTTGCTCTGCAGGCCTCACCTAGAAAGGGTGAATTGATTTGCCTGCTCCAAAGCCTTTCTCTTTCCACAGGGCATTACAGGAAGGAGAATTAATCTAATTCTCTGTAAAAATACAGTACCGTATAGATATTGTAGCAAACTTCTTCAGTCTTCTCGACAACTATACGTAATTGTACCCCAGACTTAGGTGCATTTAAATTTCACTACAAAGAGAAATAGCAAGCAGAATTGCTGAATTGAGAAGTTGGTCCCACTCACCAAAAATGCATGGTTGTTTAGCCGTTAAAGCAACATAGCCTGTAATTAATTGTATTGCCTCTGAATTGTATTGCCTCAGCAAAGGAGTGAAGAGGCATGGAGCAGTCCATACCAGTTCGACAGGCTTTACATTCTGCCTGAATCTTTTTAATGAAGTGCAACTTGAACTTAAAGTGGTTGCAGATTATTTGCAGAAGTCAGATTACGATGTGGCCCATGTTTGCTTTCTTAGAAAACTGGAACATCTGAAGGATTAGGAGAAGAATTTTAGCAAAACCATGGCTGATGTAGAGATTATAACAGGGGGGAAATCACATCAATATGCCAACTGAATACAGTAAAAGAGAGTCTATTGCATCCCAAAACTGCTAAAGCTTTGCTATTGAATTAAACACAGCAGAAGGTATGTATCCAAAAACTGATCATGGGTAACAGCCAGCTAAGTAGATCAGCTTGCACAAGGATTTCTACTTGCACAACACAACTTCCCCTCCTTCTCTTTGCCCCATACACCCTTGCCAAATATTTCTGGAGGGTTAGGGGAAACCCCAGAAGAGATTTGGGGTCATACAGGGAGAGGAGAGGCAGGGTAGTTCTGTTGCGCAAGTGGAAATCATTGAAGCAATGGATCTCCTCTGTTGAATACTACTCCATATTTTTAAAGTTAAGGTGTTTTTATATATTGTCAATTGAATGATTAGTGATTTTAAGATTTGCAGCCAACTACAATGTTTTGAATAGCGTTGGTGCTTTCAGTCCCCAAAGCCATTACTTTCTTGATCCAGAAAAAAACAACTCATCACTGCAGTCCTATGATGGACTTGAAGCAAAACTTGGACTATTTTTAGAAGAGATATAAAAATGAGAGACACAAATACAAATTGCTACAATGAACCAAGTGCTTTATCTTTCCGAAAAACTGAAAATGTCTTTCAATAAACTCTACAGATTGTATGCCATTGCCACTACGATACTTCCATCAAGTGCTGAATATGAACTAACAGTTTTATGTCTGCAGAAATTAAGGCCTATTTGAAAAGCAGGATGTGTGACGAATGCCTAAATAATATTGCTATACTAAGAGCAAAGAGATTCTCCAAAGCCCCCAGCACTGAAACTGTTGTTAACCATTTTGCGGAACAGCAAGAGACACACAAAAAGGATATGCAAACTATTCTGCAGAATTTCATTAGAACTGGCAAGTTCAGCTTCCATAGACCATCTGCATGTGTGCTTTGCCTTAATTTGCTCTCTTCCCTCCCATTTACTATCAATCTGATCAGCCCAGACTCTTATTAGCTTCGATACCCAACAGCAAATCTTTGATTTCCTAGCAGAATAAGACCTGGGGCTACCTTGACTTGTCTCAGTTTGCTCTTCCTTTTTTCTCACTGAGAGTGTACACCTGGTTAATTCCACCTGCGCTAGTTGAAAGTAATTGCATTTTCTAAAGAAATACATCATTATTCTGTCTGCCACCAAGGAAATGTTTGCAGAACGCAGGGCTGTCTAACTTGTTTGGGGGTTGCATATGTTGCTGCACTACAACTCCCATCATCCTTGAACACTAGCTGATAGGAGTTGGAATACAACAACATGGTATAAATAAATAAATACATAAACAAATATCACCTAAATTAATTATCAGTCGTCTATTGTCAATTTTATTTATTTCCACCTTTCCAAATATACTCAATGTGCCTTACATCAAACTGACACAAAAATTACAATATAAAAAAATAATATAATAATTAGCTGGTAACATCTCAATAGTTAACACATATCAATAACACCACACCACCCAAATATAAAAATATCAGGTAACAGTCCATTAAACAATTAATCAAAACATACAATTCATAGTTACAAGAGCATAACATCCCAAAAGAAGTTGAAAACAGATAGAGATATCCAATACAATTATTATTATTTTTAAATAAATGTTTATTAGTTTTCACATTTTTATACATATTATCTTTCACATATATCCAATTAGAAGGTTCTCTGAACCTTCCTACTTCCTTCCCTCCCTCCCATGGGTTCTTAAATTAAAAGGTTTTTGTTTGTTTTTTGTTTTTTGCATATTATCGTTTTTCCAACTATTCTGTATCCCTATTTTATCATAGTCAATTTCACATTACAAATGCCATTACAATGCTACCAATGTTTTTAACTGCTTAAAAATATCCAATACAATTTAGAGGAGAATCGATCAAGAAGAAATCCACAAAACAAAAGTGTGAAAGATTCAGTAAGCCTGGCTGGAGTGACAGAGGCTGGTGCAGTTGAGGAGCCCAAGAATCAGATCTCCTAGGAGATTTGAAGATCTTGGTACCCCACTCCAAATGCCCTGTTTCAGGGTTCTCCCCTGGCTACTGCTAACAGGGAAACTGCCCATCCACCAGGGTAGAGTTCCTCACCACTCATAACACTCCTGTCCACTGGCAGAGGTTGGTAGAAATATGACTACATGACATTGTACAACCTCCCCCTCCCATCGCCAGCTATCTATATCATGGGATTATGGCTGCACTCTTAATCTGTTAAAAAGATGTTGACACTGAAGAACAAACAAGTCCCAAGGAAAACTGCAAAACACTGCCTCTATAATCAGCAATGTTCTCCTCTAATAGGTTTGATAGATGAATGGATTTTTGATGTAGAGAAAAGGAAGACATGATACCTTGTGGCTTTATCTATATTTTATTCCCCTCGTTTACTTCCTCCTCCTGAAATATGGTGCTACATGCTAAGTGCATAAACCCTGAAATACACAATAAATTTATGTTAAAAGGAAAAGAAATTAGCTTTCATAACCTGAAAACTTCTAATTATTAATTGCTCCCCTGGGCTCCTTCGGGAGGAAGGGGATGATGTAAATTTAATAAAATAAGTTAAATAAATTATGGCCAAAACTGTGTGGGCTTTTCACTGGAAAAATCCACAGCTCACAGACATGGACAAACTGATGTGATACATAGAAGGTGTGGTAGTAATCAGAAAATGATGGTTGTGGAACATTGGATTTATTTTGTAGAGTAATATGAAGATTTGGCAGGATTTTATTTGCATAATAATAAATATATAAATTTCACATAATTTGCTTTCTGTCATACAATTATATGTCTTCCATAGACATATGAACCAAGAAAAAAAGAGACACACTCTGAACTGATCACTAGAGAAAGTGGACATGTCTACTCAGAAGTCATCTCTATGAAATGCAGTAGGGTTTACTCCCAGGTAAGAAGGTATAGGACTGCAGCCTCCTCTGCAGCCACAGGTGCTACAGTAAAACTCTTGCAATGAGAGTCACTATATAATTCTGCTAACAGTTTCTATTATTATTATTATTATTATTATTATTATTATTATTATTTTGAGGGGGGGACAGCCCTTTCAAATAGTTTCTATGATTTTTCATATGGTACTTGTACAAAGCAGTATTTCAAAATATAATAATAACAAGCCAAGTGTACAGCATGGCAGCAAGAGTGATCACCATTCAAATATTTCAGTTCAAAGTTATCATTATTATATCCCTCTAAGCCAAAGAACCATTTTGTGCTGAGGACCTATGATTATTTACTAGGCATTACTGCTTTAGTCCGCTAAGCGTGTTTTTAAAGTACCGTACTCAATTCCTTCCTATGTACTGATTAAGAACTCTTTAGGCCTCTGAATAGGCTGGCGATAGCTACAGTATAACTAGAAGTTTACTGCTGTCTTGTGGAGAATGAAGCCCAGTTCAGCTGTTCCTTTGGCAGCACAGCAACCCTGTGAGAAATGTGGATCCACTAGATCACACCTCCTCTTTGGGGCCCAAGTGGTTTTATTGTTTAATTCTCTGTATGGCTCATTTTTAATGCATGCCACTTAGAAATGCTAAGTCTTAGGGAGCGTATAAATGCCTGAAGTAAAATACATCAATAAATAACAGCATCAACAGTGATTTACCACATGATCACGCAGAGCTGAGGTGTAAAGATGAATTTTAATTATTACATTTGTAACATACTTTTTCTCCTCATTTTCTCCTCACAACAACAACCCTGTGAGGTAGGTTAGGCTGAGAGACACCGACTCCTATGTCACCTTGTAAACTTCAGGGATAAGGTAAGGAATTGGATTTGGTGTCCTAGTCCAAATTTAGGACTATCCAATCTTAAACATTTAA